GCCGCTCACCAACTTAACCTGTGGTCGCACCCCTAGAAGCTGCAGGTTTCGCCGACCCTTCTTTGGTCCAGGTCTCGTGGTGACGCCTCTGCATTTCACGTCTGGGGCTGCCTTGCTCACGTTCGTGCCTCCGGCACGGACAAGCTCACTGCCCGCACCTTCCCTTGTGTCTTCCTCGGTTTCCCCCTTGACGCGTCCGACTGGCACTTCTACCACCCGCCGTCTCACAGGTTCTTTCACTCCCGTGACGTTACCTTTGATGAGTCCGTCTCCTTCTGCCGCCGCTTCCCCCACAGAGGTCCCCCGGTTACTCCCCCCCCCTGTTCTTGGTCACCCCTTCCCCGGTCGCCCCTGTCCCCCCCCTCCCCTTCCCGTCTTGCACCGTCTGGTGTGTCTCACGTCACTCCCCTCCCGTCGGTTGTCCCGGTCGAGTAGTCTACTGACTCTGGTGGCCCTAGACTTTTGCCTAAAGATGACTAAAGTCTGCGAAAGGCCCTTTGCGCCTAAAGATCATCAGCGGCACTATGTACAGCTAGGCCTTGTTCTTGTTACCTCTCACCTGCTAGGGCCTTGACTATGTACTGACCTTTATGTATACTTTTGTTTATTCTTGACTGGCCTTGTGGCCTCTCCCAGTGGCTGGACTAGTAGTGCCGCCCTGGCCTTGCCCTTGTACTGATCTGTACTTGTTTGACTGGTCTTTAGACCCTTGACTCAGAGGTTGGACTAGTAGTGCCGCCCTGAATTGCCGTTTCTCTCATCAGGAATTGCACCTATGCAGTCTAGGGAGTGTGTCAAGCATATATATAGGTTATGTTTGTATAGACTGTATAGGTTCATATCTTAGAGGGTACAACACTAAGGCTTATACCCTTGTACGTTTTTCTCTCGACATTCAATCCTACGTTAAGATCCACTTCATTTCTGGAAGTCCGATAGTGTCACTTCTTGAAGATCCCGCAAAGTTTGTTACAGTACTGAAACTTCTGTCGTGTCAGTTTCTTCGTGAGGAAATCTGCAGCCATTTCGTTGGTCAAACAGTAGACCAACCGCATCCTCCTGTTCTCAACTTCATCCTTGACGAAAAAGTAACGCAGTGAAATGTGTTTCGTCCTACCGACGAAGCCGGGTTGGTGCTCGATGCGAATTGCACTCTAGTTATCGCACAACAAAGTAAACTGAGTACTCGTCGTCAATTTCGCCTCGTCCAAGAGCTCCTGCAGGTAAAGTCCTTCGCGTGTTGCTGTGCAGACAGTGATAAATTCAGCTTAAGCAGAGGAGAGAGCAATCATCTCCTGCTTCGTCGAATTCCAAGAAATAGGTCCGATAGGTTCGAGGCGGTAGATAAATCCAGTACGCGAACGTCGATTAGTAGTGTCGGCAGCGTGATCGGCGTCAATGAAACCGTTGAGATATAGTGTTTTACAGCCGATGACGTTGTAGACCAATCTGACGTCAGGAGTCGATATGAAGTATTGAAGTGCACGTAGGAGATCAAATTGATGCTCCCCTTCAGGACGGCATAGATATTGGGTGAGTTGACTAGCCGCATAGGCTAGATCTGGACAACAAGTAACAGCGGCGAAAAGAAGACAGCCTAACTGCTGTTGATAAGTCTGTAGATCAGTGAAATTCAGTGGTGTAGTATTCGGCTTGTGATATGTCGGTAGGGAACGGTACGGTGTAGTGACTGTGGTAGGGATGAGGTTGAAGCGGGCAGCAATCGTAGCTGCATACTTCGAAGCAGTTAGGTGAATAGATGTGGATGAGCAGGTAATGTTCAGTCCGAGAAACTGTGCGACTGATTCGGAGACGGTGAGCTGTAAGTTTTCCTGTAGTTTCTGTATGAACATGTTGGCGAGTGATTCAGTCGTGCTGACGTAGAGAATGACGTCGACATAAGCGACGAGTAGAATGTAGTCGCTTCCAGCAGTTAAAAGATACATCCCTTGAACATGCGGTAGTTGACGGAAGCCAGCAGTGAGAAGCTGTGAATGCAGATACTGCTGCCAAAGCCGTGGTGCCTACTTAATGCCGTAGAGCGACTTTCTGAGACGGCAGACACTCGGTGGGTTAGTAGTGTACGAGTGTGGGTACTCTACCAGAATGAGCACGTCGACAGGTGCATAGAGAAAAACATTCGCCACATCGATTTGGCGAAGGCGTAGGTTGCGGCATGCGGCGACACAATGTAGAATTCGAACACTCGTATGTCGGCCGACGGGAGCAAAGGTGAGTTCGTAGTCAAGACCGAAAGTCTGCTCGAACCCACGGACCACCGCGCCTTGAATTTCTCAAACGATTCATCTGCATTTGTCTTGAAACGGAAGACCCACTTGCCGGTAAGAACTTTTCTTCCCTTTACCTCTGTTATCGGTATCAGCTCCCATGTAGCACGACTCTTAAGAGCTGTTAGCTCTCTGTCCATGGCTTCGCGCCATTTTTCTCGGTGAGGACTCGTAAGAGCTTGTCGAGCTGTTTTCGGTTCAGATATTTTACTGTCGTTGTACTGTAATGCAACTGTGAATCCAAGGACCTGTAAACCAGTTTCTGTAAAACTCGGGCGTTCTCCGTTTTCACCTGAGAATTTTTCTTCTGACCCTTCTTCCCCCCCAATTTCATCAGGTGTAACACAGACTGCTTCGTCGGAGACAACGGGCATCGGCTGCTGTTGACGATCTCGTTCGTAACTAAGGTGTACTTCGCGAACGTCATCCGGGTCAGCATCAGCGAGGGGAATAAACTCTGGGATGCCAGACAACGTGACAGGTTCGGGAATGTCTGTGGCGGCAGCTTTGGAGGCTTCGGAAACTGCCTCGTCTTGTACATCAGCTTCTGCTTCGTCGGTTGCAAATGCACGCGAGCCTTCGAACAGCCTGGCGGGGTTGGCAGCTGCTGCCTGGTGGGTACGAAAAACCGGCAAGGTGAGTCGCTCATAGAAAAGACAATCACGTGAAGGGACAATTTGGTTTGAACGTAGATCCAAAATCTTCCATGCGTGATACTATTTTTCGATGCCGAGGTGGACCCCCCATTTTGCCCGTTCTGAAAATTTGCCAAGTGCTATAGTTGGAGGTCGATACTGCACGACACACCCAAAAACTCGTAAGAATTTTGTACTTCCCGCTGTACGTGTCCACTGCAGGTGATGAGAGGAAAATTCGGACAGTAATGTTGATGACAGCAGGTTATGTAACAGCACGGCATGGTCCATCGCATATGGCCAAAAACGAGGAGGAACAACTGCCTGCGTCAGCATAGCATGCATCTTCTCTTGAAGAGTTCGATTCATCCGTTCTGCTACCCCCATCTGTTGGTGTGCATGTGGTAGAGACTGCTTCCTTTTGATGCCGAGGGTTTGGAGGTAGTCTGTGAAAGTGTTGGTCGTATACTCCCCTGCGCCATCACTCTGAAATTCTTGTAGTTTCGCTCCAAATTCTCTTTCAGCGATAGCGAGCCATGCGACGAAGACCGCATGGGCGAGATAAGGAGCAGGAAGGTTGGCTGTCCAAACGTAGCGAGTAGATGCTTCAATAAAATTAATCACATACTGCTCCTCTTTAGGTCCTGCTTCAGGTAAGTTGAGAATATCGCTGTAGACTTTCTGCATCAATCGATAATGATTTGAGCCAGGAAAATGACTCGGAAACGGGTCGTGGGTAAGATTGGCGATCTGACACGTGGTGCAAACCATTGGGCGAGACTGTGGTTTCATCTCCGTGCCGTCAGGTAAGAGAAGACTGTTATCAAGAACTGCTGTTCGAAGTGAATGATTTAAAATCCCTTGCGATGGATGTCCTAACCTTTTATGCCAAATGTCCTCTGTGGCTTTGTGTCCTGTTGATCGCAGATAGAAATCGGCGTTAGTATAAAACGCAGAAACGATGAAAGGAGAAAGAGCTGGAGACATGTCGATCTCCCCTTTCACGAAACGGGTAAATGGTAACTGAATGTTTGACGGTTTTGCTGCAGTTGCAATTGCAACGTCTGATACTGCGGCTGTTGATGTGGTGGCAGATGGTCCTGCAACAGCTACTGTGCGACTTGGGTGCTCGGCGACTTCTGCTTTCGCGACTTCCTCGACGACTTCGGGTTCATCAGCTGCAAGACCACTGATTTCTCCCCAACATGGAGCCGGAGTTCCTTGAGAAGCGGCATGAGCGTTATAAAACGTTCGCGAAGCGTTGGCGCTTTCATCGGCGGTGTTGAACTCCCAAGTACTAAGAGCGGTCAGAACGGCAGCTGCGGTTTGAGAAGTCGTGGGTACGGAAGTTGCACGAAAATCAATATCAACTTGTTGATAATCGGTGTCGTCGGGATGATCCCAAGGACCGAGAGCGAGGACGTGTTCAGAATCGCCAGAGGTGCCCTGTGCCGTGAACTGAAGAATGGATACCCCATGTTGAGTAGCACCGCGACCAAGGAAAGTATGTGTCAGACTGTGCCATAACTCTTGATCCATTGTATCACAATAACCTTGTGTGCGAATCTTGTGTGCCAGGAGCTGAGCTGTGGAGAGGAGATTAAAACCAAGGCCGACGACGATAAGGATGTTGGTAACATGTAAGGAATATCCCGTGTCGACGGACTCGAGCATTACACTTCCGATGGATTTGGCCATGATAGTTTGTCCGTTTGCAACCGTGACAGGTATCAGACGACGAAGTGGACGCTGATTGGTGATGAAGCTTGTTTCAGCGGAGCACATATGCCAACCACAATAGCTGTTGAGATACTGTACCAAGTATTGGGTCCTGAAATGAAGGTTAGCATAAACTTGTGGTAAGGGAATGCCCTCTGCACTGGTGGTTTCTTCAAGTTGTGTCTCGAAATCGGTATCTGAAACATCAACTGTCGAAAGGCATGCAAGAAACTCTGCTGCTCCAGTTGTGTTCCCCTAACATGATATGTAAACTCGCCGGTGAAGAACGGCCATAGCCCGGCAGACTGTGCCAGAAGTTCAAACTCGAAGCTCCAGGAGTAAAAATAAACTCCGTTAAAAGGTAAACTGGTCTTGATTTGTGTGCTGTTAAGTAAATTCGGCGGCTGAAAAACAATACCCTGTTGTTGAGGTTGTTGCTGTTGTTGCTGTTGCTGAAATTGCTGTGGATGTTGTTTCTGTTGTTGTTGTTGCTGTTGTTGTTGCTGAGCAGGTGAACGCCCGAAGATGTAAAAGGGCTGTTACTGCTGAGACTGCGGCTGCTGCGTAAAAGGTGCGAATGCAAATGAGCCGGTACTTGGAGCTGGAGCTCCACGCATGTAATTTGAGCCGTCAAGGCTCATTCCACTAAACGCTGATGATACTGAATGAGTTGAGAAATGTTGTGCTGCTGCTGGTTGTTGTGCTGTTGCCTGTGTTTGCTGTTCTTGCGCTGCAGGTGCAGTCGATGAAATCCCTGGAGTACTAACAGAAGGAGGATTTTGCTGCTGCTGCTGCTGCATACCAATGTGCGCATAAGCTGGTGGAAACTGTCCAGAGGCTGAGAGACTAGTGGCAATCGAGGAGACATGTCACAGGATTGAATGTGTCGAGGAAAGATTGCACTATCAATGAATACAAGGCGCTTTTATACTTCCAGAGTACATCAGGTAACCAGGTTTATCCTATCCAAAGGGAATAGACCCTTCTAGAATATAAAATCACCCTGCGTATAGCCACGCGATGCTATTGGCTTTAAGGGATTACGGCAGGATTACGCTAGATATAACGCGCCAGTACATCCCGAGCCTGGTTGGTGATATAATTATAAAAATAGGATAAACCAAAAGATAATGGAAAATGGAGAATAGGAAATCAGATGAGGAAGAGAAATATAATAAAAAGGAAATAGGTAAAGGTTAAGTGGTGTAACGGGGTCGTACTTCTCACACTTCCCCCCCTCAAAGCAGGGTGGTAGAAGTAACACCCTGCTTGACAAGGTAGTCATGCAGAGGACGACGGGCATTACCCATGTTGGTCTCAGGTACCCAAATGTCCTCAGAAGGATCATAACCCTTCCAACGAATAAGAAGCTCTATGGTGCCATTCCGACGACGGCGGTGTGCAAGCACGGACTCGACCTCATACTCCGGTTCATTCTGGACGAGGACGGGCGGCGGCGGCGGCGGTTGGCGTCCGACGAAGATCGTGTTCGGATCCCGATAGGGCTTTACAAGGTGGACATGGAAGGCATTGTGAATCTTCTAGGTAGGCAAGCGTAAGCGGAAAGTAACAGGAGTGACGTGTGCAGGCTGGACTGTAGCTGATGCTGTCAGTTTTTGTGGTGTGAGTGGGTGGCGTCCGTAGAAGAGGAAGAACGTCGTCTGTCCAGTAGCGGCATGTATAGCATTGTTGTAAGCAAACTTTAGAACGGGCAGGTGCAAGTCCCATTTGGAGATCTCGTCCTTGCAGGCTGCTCGGGAGGAGTTGCTCAACAATCTGGCTGAGGCGCTCGGTCTGTCCATCTGTCTGCGGATGGTAGGTGGATGACATGGCGAGTTTGGTCCTGAGCAGAGACATGAGTTCCTCCCAGAACTTGCTGGTGAACTTGGGGTCTCAGTCGGAGATGAGTGTGGTTGGAATGCCATGCTGTGAGATGATGTAGCGAACGAAGAGTTGTGCTGTTTCATTGGTGCGTACTGTCGTGTGTGTCGCGATGAAGTGTCCCATTTTAGAGAACTTGTCAATAACCACAAGAATTGCATCATGACCGCTAGTGGTAGGTAGTAACCCGGTAATGAAATCCAGGCTAACCACTTGACATGGTTGTTCTGGGACAGGAAGAGGCTGTAGTAGTCCCGCCTTCTTCTCCTTGCTGTTCTTCATCCGCTGACATGTATCGCACGAGGTGACGAAGTTCTGGACATCTTCTGCCAAGTGGGGCTAGTAGTAGTACTTCGCGATACCGGTCAGCCTCTTGTTGCTACCGAAGTGTCCTACGTATAGGACATCGTGGTATTCTTTGAGTAGTAACTGGCGCAAAGGAGGGTAATTGGGAACCCAGATTTTCGTTGATCCTTTCCGGTACGCGATGTCACTGTTCAACTGTAGTAGGTGTCGCTTCTCTGCCAAGGGAATTTCGGGGTCGATGGTGTACCCGTGCGTGAAGAGTCCCTTGAGCAATGGATTCATCCCTTCGATCTAGATGGCGGCAACATGTGCAGGCCGTCTTAGGGCGTCTGTTTGTTTTTGTGGCCGGGCTTGTACACGATGTCGTAGTGTGTCTCGAGGAAGTCGATCCACCGCACCTGCCGTCTGGAAAGGTTGGGTTGTGCCTTCAAATATTTCAGGCTGCAGTGGTCGGTGTAGACGGTTGTATTTCGTCCTTCAAGATAACATCTCCACGCTTTGAAGGTGATGACAATAGCAAGGGCCTCTTTGTCATGTATCGAGTAGTTTAGTTCTTCCCCGTGTAGTTTCTTGCTGAGGTAGGCGATTGGTTGCAGTCCATTCCCCTGGTCTTGCATCAAGACTACTCCCACTGCCTGGTCGCTGGCATCAGCTTCGATGTTGTAGTCTCGTTCGGGATCTGGCAAGATGAGTACTGGTGCAGACGTGAGTGCATATTTCAGCTGCTCCACGGCTTCCTGGTGCTTTGGCTCCCATTTTTAGGGCGTGTTTTTCTTCAGCAATTCGTGAGTGGTGCTGCGAGTTTCGCATACTGTGGCACGAACCTGTTGTAGTAATTAGCGAAGCCTAGGAACTGCTGCAAGTCCTTCACGTTTTCTGGTGTCTTCCACATACGTACGGCTTCGATCTTCTTCGGGTCGACGTGAACTTCTTGAGCGCTCACCATGTGTCCTAGAAATTGGACTTTCTTGAGGGCGAATTCGCTCTTGGACAGTTTGACGTAGAGCCGTTCTCGTCGAAGAATTTCGAAGACGCGTCGCAGGTGTTCGACGTGCTGCTTCATGTTGCGCGAGTAGATGAGGATGTCGTCCAGGTACACCACCATGCACTCGTCCAAAAGTGGTCGTAGAATGTGGTTCATTTTGGCTTGAAATGTTGCCGGTGCGTTGGTGAGTCCGAATGGCATTACCAAATACTCGTACGATCCATACCGAGTTCGGAAGGCAGTTTTGTGGATAGAGTTGTCCGCCATTCGTATCTGCCAGTATCCGGACCGCATATCCAGTTTGGAAAATACCGTAGCTCCTCGAAGATGGTCAAACAGGTCATCGATTCATGGTATCGGATATTTATTCTTGATGGTCTGCTTGTTAAGAGCCCGGTAATTGATGCACATGCGCAAGCTTCCGTCCGGTTTCGGTGTGAAGAGCACTGGGGCACCGTATGGCGAAGTCGATGGTCGGATGAGTCCTTTGGCAAGGAGATACTCGATCTGTTTTTCATGTCGATCAGCTCAGTGGGGCTGAGTCGATATGGTGCTCGGAAGGTCGGCTTCGAACCCGGTTCCTCCACGATCTCGTGTTGATGTGTTCGGTATGGCGGTAGCTCGTTCGGCAGATCGTCATGAAGAATGTCTTGGAACTCCTTCAGTAATTCCTTGGTTTTTCCTGGAGGTTCCAAGGTATTCTCCCCATCGTTTTCCACCTCTGTTGCTATCGCTAGGAACCCGATGTCGGTTGGCTTCACGTCCTTCTCGAATCGTGCGAGTGTCTCCACTGGGATATCTCCTGTATCGTCCCAGTTGGGTAGCTGGACACTCCTTCCATTGTTGTAGATGCTTGCGGTGCGGTTCACCCAGTTGATCTCGGGGTTGGATCTTTTTAGGAAGTCTCGCCCGAAGATCAGGTCAAGCCCTGTTATATTGGTGATGGGGAGTGCAGTTCTCCAGCGCAGTGGTCCAATTTGTAGATGTAAGACTGCTTTGTTGTGTACTGGTAACTTGCTGCCATCCACCATCGTTGCAGAGAATACTGAAGGCTTGTACTCTTCCCGAAGTCGGTCGATTACTGCCTTGTCGCAGACGGTGTGCAATGCTCCGCTGTCCACGAGTGCTTGGAGGCGTCGTCCTTTGCAGATGACCTCGAGCACGAGGGGCGGGCGTTGCTCGGAGTACCCAAAAATAGTTTCATTGATAGGGTCATAGGGTACATCCCAATATTCCGTACACACCTTTTCGTTGCTATCTACTCCTGAGCTGGCAGCTGGCCGAGGCTGCTTGGAGAACGGCTCATCTCCAGGGCGCGGAGTTTCCTTGACGACTGTGCGCGTCATTGATGCTGAAGTTGCTGAACTGGATGCATCCAGAGGAGAAGTTCGGGGGTTTCTGCAGCTTCTTGTAGAACCCCAGCTTCCTCTTAAGCTGCTTCAGCTCCACCGACAGTTTCCCTGGGTAACGGGTTGTAATTGTGGGCTGGTGTCGGGAGAGGACGTTGACTCCGTGGAAAGGTCGGCTTCTTTCCACACTCCTTAATTTTTTCCCCAAGTTGTCCGGTACCGGCATAATCTCCACAGCTTTCTGCTTCTTCTGGAGTCCTTCCCGAATTTTCTCCAAGGCTCTAACCCCTCGAGAATCATAAGTTTTCATTGAAACATCTTTATAAGATAACTTTAACGAATCCTTATAAATTCTTGGGTCTTCAAGGAGTTTCCCTGTCTCGGCAGAATCTTTTTACGCGGAGTCAGATTTTTTATCGCCGATTTTCTCTGGCGAAGACTGGTCGTGGGGTGGAGATTTTCCCCCATCATTTCCTCCTGCTCGCGTCGAATCAGCTTCGTCGAAGTTGATTTTCCTGGAATCCCGTGGCCGCTTTCGGATCTTTTCTTTTTCGCCAGCTAGATCCGCAATCACTGGCGACTCCCATTGTTTGTCTTCTGATTGGCCGAAAGATTTCCGCCACTGTTGCGTGCCCGATACTCTGCGCATGTGGCTTTCATTTTGTTTTAGTCGAAGATTCCATGGCCCGGCACGTGTAGTTGGTGTTTTTCGGACGTGGCCGCCCGTCGAACTTGTCGATCTCCATCAGGTCGGCAAACGTGGTGTGAGCCAAGTGGTCGCCCTGTCGCGTACTACCGACGTGCGTTCGTCGTGTCCCGGCGTTGACCATGTTGAAGCGCTCCGCTGCCGAAACGACGTCACTGTAGCTCGCGTAGTTTGACGTTGCTACCTGTCGTTTGACTTCGGTCTTCAGCCCGGCGAGGTAAGACTGTACTTTTCCCCCTTCGGTCAGGTCGGGAATGCGGTTATAAAGTTCTTCCATCTGCTGCGTGTAATGTGCTACACTCCCAAACTGTCGATGTCGATTATTTTTTTCCCAGGCAAGGAAACCTGAATTTATCGGCTCGAAACGTTTCAGCAGGTCGGTGCGGAAATGCTGCCACGTGGCTTCACCGTGGATGAAGGTGCTGTTGCCACCGATCCACTCGAGTGCCGGCTCTCGCAACAGTATCGCCGCGAGTCGTACGCGTTGACCGTCCCAGACTGGCGAGCTCCATCCGACGGCTGCGAAGTAGATCTCCATCTTGGCGATCCATCTGCGGGCGTCGGAGTTTCGATCGCTCGGATCGAACAGCTCAGATGGGCGCGGTTTCGGAGCCTCGAGAAATTGTTGCGACTGCTGTGTCGTCGCCGTTGTCGAGTCGTGCTGCGCTCCGACGAGTCGAGTTACTCGCTTGAACTCGTTTCGCCATGCCTCGCGGTCCGCTCGCATCTCCTCCTGGAGGGTGGCGATGCTCGCGAAGAGCTGCTGGGTAACCTCGGCGTTGTCGGAGGTCGCCATCCTGTTCAAAACACGCGGGGGGGGGGGGGGGTTTATTTATAAAACGCGGAGCTGGTGCTTACCAGAGTCGGCGCCGAATTTATCGTCCTCAACAGTTTTTCGAGGCAGGTTTTCCCGCTGCTGCTGCTTTGTTGAGCGCGACCGAGTGAGAAAAGCTGTGATTACCAAGTGTCACAGGATCGAATGTGTCGAGGAAAGATTGCACTATCGATGAATACAAGGCGCTTTTATACTTCCAGAGTACATAATGTAACCAGGTTTATCCTATCCAAAGGGAATAGACCCTTCTAGAAGATAGAATCACCCTGTGTATAGCCACGCGAGGCTATTGGCTTTAAGGGATTACTGCAGGATTACGCTAGATATAGCGCACCAGTACATCCCGAGCCTGGTCGGTGATATAATTATAATAACAGGATAAACCAAAAGATAATAGAAAATTAAGACTAGGAAACCAAATGAGGTGAGATAAAATGATTAGAAAAGAAATAAGGAAAGTTCACGGACAAGCTCACTGCCCTCACCGTCCCTTGTGTCTTCCTTGGTTTCCCCCTCGACGCGTCTGACTGGCACTATTAGAACCCGTCAGTCACCGTTTCTTTTGCTCTCGTGATGCCACTTTTGACGAGTCTGTCTCCTTTTACCACTGCATTCCCCACCGAGGTATCCCGGTTGCCCCGCCCCTGTTCCTGGTCCTCACTCCCCCGGTAGCCCCAGCTCCTCTTCCTCCCCATCCTGCCCCATCTAGTGCCTCTCACGTCACTCCCCTCCCGTCGGTTGTCCCGGTGGAGGAGTCGGCTGACTCCAGGGGCGCTGCGGCTTCGGTCTCACTGCATGTCTCCGCCCCGGTGTCTCCTCCTCCGCAGCCCCCGCAGCAGCCGCCGTCGCCGCTGCTGCCGCAGCAGCAGTCGCCGCAGCCGTAGCCACCGTTGCAACCACCGCCACCGCAGCAACCGCTGCAGGGGTCCGCGAGCTCTGGGGGTGCAGGCGTTGAGGAGGCTGCTAGTCCTGGGGGTACTGTCGTGGCTTATCTCGGCAGTCTAGGGGGTGGCTCCGGTGTTGGAGAGGGTTCTCATTCTAGGGGTGCTGTCGTGGAGCGTCCCGGAGATAGCCGTGGTGCGGCTGCAGGTTCTGGTGTCGGTGCAGAGCAGCAGCAGCAGCAGCAGCAGTAGTCGCCGCCAGTGTCGCCTCATTGGTCTTCCCTCCCTTTACAGCTTGCCTGGGCCTCCCCCGCCTGTCTACGATGCTGTTTTTCCTTCGCTGACTCATCTCCCGCTCGTTTTTCCCCGCGTTCTCCTTCTGCGTCTCCTCCCCTGTCTCCTGAATCCAAGCCTCCGTCCCATTTCTGGTCTCGCCGTCCTACTCGTGCTCGTCCTGTCTTTCTTGTCCAGCGCTCTCACGCGTCGTTCCCACGTGTCTCGTCGTCCCCTCCTTCCGTCGCCTCCTCCGTTCTCGATGGTTTTCGTTCCGCCTCCCCTATCTGACTTCCTTTGTGCCGCTAAACCTCTTGTTTCTCGTGTCCTCGCCTCCCTTGTTACCAACCCGTCTGTCGCTGTCTCCAGTCTTGATGCTCATGTTGCTGCCGTCACTGACTTTGCCTCTACCCACCGCCTTGACTACGCCACCGCTCAGATCTCTGACCCTGCCCGTCCTTCGTGTGTTGGGGGTGCTCATGCCCTTGGCAGTGACGTCCTGGAGGACCAGCATTTTAAGCTTGCTTTCCTAACCGAGGCCGCTCCCCATATGGGCTCCATGCTGCTAGCCCCTGAGAGTGACCCAAACGCCTTTGACATTCCGACCCCTCGCACTTACGCTGAGGCGACCTCTGGACCCTGTGCCTCTCAGTGGATAGCTGCCATGGACGCAGAGATGGCATCTTGGAGATCCATCAGCTCCTACGCCGACGCTGTTTCTCTACCTGGGGTGAACGTAGTCGATGGCCGGTGGCTCTTCAAAGTGAAGCGCCCTCCTGGAGAGCCGCCGGTGTTTAAGGCGCGCTACGTTGCTAGAGGCTTCAGTCAGCGCAAGAGTGTTGACTTCTTCTAGACCTTCGCCCCTACCCCGAAGATGACCACTCTTCGGGCGCTGCTACGCATAGCAGCAGAGAATGACTACGTGCTGCACTCTCTCGACTTCTCGACAGCGTTTCTCCAGGGCAGTCTTCACGAGCAAGTCTACCTCCGTTGCCCGCCAGGCTTCACGGGCACCTTCGCCCCGGGAACGCAGTGGCTCCTCCGGCGCCTGGTTTACGGACTGCAGCATGCGCCTCGAGAGTGGCACGACACTCTTCGTGCTACGTTAGCTGACCTGTAGTTCTTCCCGTTCACAACAGACCCTTCGTTCTTCGTTCGTTCAGGCCAGACACCGTTCTACATCCTTGTCTACGTAGACGACCTGGTCTTCGCCACTGCAGATAGAGACGCACTGGCCCTTATGTAGGCCGAGCTGCTGAGGATACACACCTGTACTGACCTAGGAGAGCTGCGCCTCTACCTTGGCCTGGAGATCTCCAAGGACAGAGCAGTGACTCTCAAACGGTCACACTTGGTGCGCCACGTCCTTCAGAGGTACTGTCTTTGGTTCTCCTCTACACATCTCACTCCTCTGCCAGTAGATCACAGGCTGTCAGCTCCAGTCCATAAGGAGTCCGTAGAGCCTAGTGGTCCATACGCAGTGCTGGTGGGTTGCCTCATGTACCTGATGACTTGCACACGTCCAGATCTCGCATACCCTCTCAGCATCCTGGCTCGCTTGTGGCGACAGGCAGACACCGACCGCAGCACTGGTCGGCCACTAAGAAGGTTTTGCGTAAACTAGCGAGTACATCGGGCATGGGGCTAGTACTAGGAAGACGCGGGCCAATGGTCCTTACTGGGCACACAGATTAGGTTTCTTCGACGGCGTGCAACGAGCCCACGGCGCGTTTTCCAGGTGCAAGGCACGTGGTCTCACGATTCCGCGTCTTGCGCGAGGACCTCGTTTTCTTTGCGCCGTACGTCACCCTGGTCACAGGGCCGCTTAGCGCCAAGCTTGTCGGCGCACCTACCGCATGCGATGGCTAGCGCGACGAGTCATGGCAAGCTAACCAGATTACGGTACACGAGAGGACTATGCTAGCGAGGAGGACGGGAAATGCTACGCATGACTCCATTTTGTAAACAAAATGGTTTCTGGTAGTCCCAAATTGCAAGCTTCGGTTCTTCCCCTTGGCCCTTTCCTCCCTTGGTTGGAGTTTGTGCTGGGGTTGGCGAAACCCGTTTTCCCACAGCGTCCAATCACAAGCTTCCCTTCTCCATCCTCCCCCCTCTTGTTCACTGTTCTAAATTTGTACAGGGTAACCACTCAAACCCCCACAGAAATTGTTAACAAAAAATGCTCGCGCCTTGTAACTTGGGACCTGGGCTTTAAAGCGAGAAGGTAAAATAGTGAAGGCTGGCCCAACTTGAAAGAGGACTCCCCCCTGTGACTTCTCTTGGAAACCTCGGCTGACAAATTATTGTTCCAAAGTGACGCGGGTTGGAAAATTGAAGTTTGATCTCAAAGCTGATTGGATCCCGCCAACATGATCGTCGCGAGACGAAACTCACGACGTGCCAAAGCTGTATTTCTGACACGAAATGCTTGTCAGGGTTAGCGTTTCCCTGTGCGATTCTGGCATGGCGTATGCATGCGACGGGTTGAGTCTTTCGGATCCAGTTGGGCCCGACTCGGATTTCAAGTTGGGCCTGGGTTCATAACTGCTGCAAAGAGCACTTCTCCATTTCCTACGCGAAAGTCCATTTCCTGGCTAGTTGTAGTCTACTAACAGACGCGTAGCTACCTAGTTCCGCTAGTTGACCCCCTGTTTTTTCCGCCTTAGTGCCTAAGAACAGTGAGGAAAATGTGACGCAACGATATAGGGAGAGAGTGGCGCGGCGGGAGGGAAAGAGAGATAGTTACGCGGCGGGAAAGAGAGAGAGCAACACGATGGGAGAGAGAGCAGCATAGCGAGATGGGGGAGAGACAAAGAACCTATTTGCGGGAGAGAGAGAGAGAGAGAGAGAGAGAGAGAGAGAGAGAGAGAGAGAGAGAGAGAGAGAGAGAGAGAGAGAGAGAGAGAGAGTAGCGTGATGGGAGAGAGAGAAGGAGTAGCGCGGCGGGCGAGAGAGAGAGAGTAGCACGATGGGGGAGAGAGAGAGAGTAGCGAGATGGGAGAGAGACAGAGTAGCGCGGTGGGAGAGTGAGAGAGAGTAGCGCGATGTGTGCGAGAGAGAGAGTAGCGAGATGGGAGTGAGACAGAGTAGCGCGGCGGGAGATAGAGAAAGTAGTGTGATGAGAGAGAGAGCAGCATGGTGAGATGGTAGAGAGACAGAGAGTATCGCGGCGGGAGAGAGAGAAAGTAGCGCGATGGGAGAGGGAGCAGCGCAGCGAGATGGGAGAGACATAGTAGTGCGAGGGGAGAGAGAGAGAGGCGCGATGGGAGAGAGAGAGAGAGAGAGAGAGAGAGAGTAGCGCGGTTGGAGAGAGAGAACAGCATGGCTGGATAGAGTGTGTAGCACCGCGGGAGAATGTAATGCGGCGCGACGAGAAAGAGAGCGAGGCAGAGAGCTGCAAAGAGTTGCGCTGTGAAAGAGAAGGTGGCGCATGGCGAAAGTCTTGCTCCTTTGAACTTACACTCACCCTCTCCCCCATCATCACCTTTCCCTTCGTTTATGCACCTCTTCCTCTCTCTCTCTCCGCACCTCTTCCTCTCTCTCTCTCTTCGCGACTCTTCCTCTCTCTCTCTCTCCGCGCCTCTTCCTCTCTCTCTCTCTCCGCGCCTCTTCCTCCCTCTCTCTCCGCGCCTCTTCCTCTCTATCTCCACGCCTCTTCCTCTCTCTCTCCGCGCCTCTTCCTCTCTCTCTCTCCGTGCCTCTTCCTCTCTCTCTCTCTCCGCACCTCTTCCTCTCTCTATCCGCGCCACTTCCTCTCTCTCTCCGAGCATCTTCCTCTCTATCTCCGCCCCTCCCCTTCGATTTCGCCAGGGCTTTCCATCTCACGCTCCCGCTCCGAACACTTCTTCCTCACCGTCATTCTCCCGTTCTCCGCACCTATCGCTGCGAGTCTCTCTCTGTGTCGTGGTTTTGGTATTTTGCACTCTGTATTTCACTCGCAACGTTTTATTTTGCTGGTACTTTGAAGTGACACTCGAGGGGGAAATGCGTGCCTTGGGCTCTCAAAATCAATGTTTTCAGCTTGTCTTTCGCAGGGTAGCGGGATGGCTTGTGATTTGCGACAATCATGCAAAATGTTCACTCGTAATTTGTCGCCAACTATCAGAGAAACACAAACTGCCCCCCTAACAAAAAACTGTCTCGCAAGTTTCCAACCAGCACACTCTTGAGCTGAACTGTTTCGAGTTGGGTCCAACTTGAAAAGGGGGTCACTATTCTAACCTCTCGCTTTAAAGCCCGAGTCTAGAATGGTTGAAAACCATGAATATTGGGCATGAAAACAGTGTCAAAAAATTAGGCAAAAGTAATTTCGGCAAAGTTCCCCTGACGAATACAGAATTTGGCGAAATAGAAAAACCGTGATCGCAGCACGGAATTTCATCGGCAGGAACCGAGCTCAACAGCGCATGAACAGTGTGTGGGGGCGGGGGAAGGGGGGGAACGAACAGTGATGCGAGACCCCCACAAAAATGCGTTCAGAATGGTCGTTGGCGAAAATCAAGAATACTGAGATGAATAGTAATTGCGGGTTTGTCCTTTTGAGCTGCAATCGCAAGCTGCCCCTTGTTCCCTGAGAGTTGCGACGTTCAAACTGCATTTACTACGTTACCCTCTATTGGACGAAAACAAGTTCAGGATTCCTGAACTTGATAGCAAACCATTCTAGACTCGGGCTTTAATATGTCCACCCAAACGAATTTCGGTGAAATTTCCAGAAGCCCTAGGGTGATCATGCCGGGGGAGATTACAGTACCCTATGCTACATGCATAAGAAATCGTCACTCACTTCGGAAGTCATCCAGCCCTTGGGATTTTGGCGCCAGTAGACATACGGCTCGGGGTCGAAGCAGTAGTCAGTCGGCCGTCGCACTTTAGAGACGATGAGAGGACGATACATACTGGATCCGTCTGCGTTGTATAGAAACGCCACCGTGATGCGGTCCTTTGCAGCCTTGCGACCGACGGGCGAACCATCCGACCAGGAACGACGAGGCTGCTGACCCGCGAAAAGGGCAGTCTCATCCCAATTGTAAAGATCGCGCGGATTGACGCCAATATGCTCTATGAATTCCGGCATGCGCTGCCTACACAGCTCGACACCTGTCTTGTCTGCGTCGAACGCCTCGCCCTTGCGTGCGAGGTTACGGAATCCCATGCGATGCATGGCGCGATGACACCAACTGATCGAGCATTCGAAACTGTCGGGGACGCCACACTCAGGGCGCAATTCCAGGTTAGGGAACCGACCCTGACGAAGGCGGATGGCATTTTGTGCTGCAGCAGCGGCTTTCCACTTGTCCGCCTGGCGAACAATCTTCCCTACGGTGCTGCGGTCAGGCACAATCCCGAACCTCGTGAAACACCATCGGGCGAGATCCTCCTGCCGCCAGGACTGGTGAGTTTCCGCCTGCCGACAGATTTCTCGCTTCATCTCGAGCGAAATCTGGGCCCTTCGGTGCAGGCGAGGCAGGCGACGGGAGCGAGGAGCGGACATGTTCTCAGAGGGTGCGAAAGCGGAGATGGATGGGGTAACAGTGTGTGAATGGAGGTCAGGCGGATAGACGAGGCTCAAACCCACGCATTTGAAGTTCGGGGAGGACTCATGACCTGGGCTGGCGAACGGTTACGTGTTTTTTGGTTCATTCATTCGACCAAATGAATCTGTTCATGCTAGAAACTTCCGTATCTACGTGTCGTGTTGTTAGCTCGTTGGCTGACGATAAACTTTCTAGTGACTTCGTTAGGCTATTGTTTTTCGCTAACGTAATCTTTTGGAGGAATCCTATTGGTTGCCGCGTAATCTGTGCGCTATCTTGTACAGTAGACTCTTGTGGGTCGTTTCATGTTGAACAGCGATTGTGCACATACACTAGGGGATAAGAGCAGGGTGTATACCGCAATGGGTCCTTAACCGTGATTGTGCAACAAGCGCGGATGTCTGTAAGCGGGATCATGTGTATCAAGCATCCTGTTACGAGGACTTAGCCCAACAAACTTCTGAAAAGATCCTAGGTCAGCCCAACAAACTTGATAGCAAACCATTCTGAGTTCGGGCTTTAAACACTCATAACACGAGGGATGTCACTGTAGCCCCATACCTCGCGTCCGCCGCCACCTCCATCAAAATCATGTGCAAACAGTAGCATCCCTCAGAATAACTTTTGTTTATCGTACAGTACAGTAACATGGAACTTACGCAACCACACCTAAGTGCGACCTATTCGCACTCATTCGCCCATATGCCACCACACTACTGGAGATTGAAACTTTTATATTTCTCATGTGTCCACAAGACCTGACGTAGCGGTCTGCTTCCGCCTGCCCAACCACCATGACGAATGGTGCTGAACATCCTCAGCTCGGTGGCGACTGTGATACCATATCTGTGATCACCAGCTGTTGCGAAGTCCAACCTAGCTGGTAACTCGTGATCGTTGAGCTGCCACCTTGCTGTACGATCTTTGCTAGCTCTTCGCCAGCCTCGTTTCGCTCTGGCGACCGCCGATAATGGCCAGCGGGACAGAAGCAGCACGTGAGCCGCGCGAAATGTCGATACAGTACAGTACACGAAACAGGCCCACCACGAACGCGAAACCCACTCGGCAGCACCACGTGCTTGCTTTCGATCAAGCCTTCCCTCTGGGTCAGACCCTGTCAGGATTGACGATTTACAGGTATGAGGGCGATTTTGGAGCGAGCGTCAGACCCGATGTCAACCCACGGCCGAAGGAGTCGCGGGTTGTCACAACCTAACTGCGGGTTTTATATTCTTGACAGTGTAGCGGCTGCAAAGTCGCAAATAGTCGCAAAGGGAGGGTTGCGACTATACTGGCCGAACTTTGCGAGTCCACCAGAAATGTGCGAGTTTATGATTGGTGTAAGTTCATTTGAACGAAATTATTAGCTGTTCGGTTTGACAGCTGACTGGCTGGAGCAGTCAGTTTTCGGAAGACCCGAGGCGATTTTTTTTCCAGCCTCGGATCTTAGAGCACAACCCGAGGGTCTAACAGTCGCTCCAGAATTCTCCCTAGATCGTTCTAGTTAGACAGCATAGTAGTACAGTGTGGTTCCATGCGGTGAACGGCCGAAGGGTAGCCACATCCAGAGAACCACAGCAAACCTTCCCTCCACCGCGCCTGCAAAACTGGTACAGTAGTAGGGGGTGGGCCACATACCTGACACAGAAAGATTAGTACACGGTGCCTAGTAGCGTCTTCTCTTCTGCGTACGCCGCATGCGCAGTCACCGCAAGCAACTGGTGCAGGTGGGTCTGCGGTCGGGAAAAAAGAAACTCCTTACAGCAACAGTGCGGCTACTAGTCCATGCAAGTGATCGCTTTCAACCTCTCGTTGGATTGCTGACTTCGGCCACAGATACAACAAGATGTATATGTTCACCTGCGCTGTATTTGCGAGCAGCAACTTATTTCGTAGCACACGCGACCATCGTTTTAGAAACGCAAATTGTTCCACAAAGACTAGTAGTACGCAGAATATTCCACTTCAGATTAGTGTCGATCTAGTGCAGTCCAGCCAGTCTCGCAACAATGGTTGACGAACCTTCAGCCAGTAACTCATCTTCGCCCGTCATGGTGGCCGCGCAGCACCGTCTAAGCAGCAGAGCTGTCCGCGGTTCGTTAAGCGGCATCCGCCTCGAGCCGCTGAAGACGAACTGTCTCGACGACGACGTCAGCAGGAACCGCATCGTGTACCTGGGAGACCACCTCGCAAGGTTTCCGTGTTATGTGAATGTGACTAAAGAGGGAGAAACGTTTCCGTATTACGTGAATGTGACTCAAGAGGGCGCCATCAGGAGCTTTCACTACGCCACGGAGCTGAGTCTGGAGGACAGAGACGGCGACGCGGTTGAAGAGTTAAGGCAGCAGAGAGAGGAGATTCTCGGATCGAGAAACGGCACCCCTCGTCCCCACGTCGACGCTACTGCTGCCGCTTCAAGCCAGGACCAATGTAGGACGCGGTACAAGGAAGGTCATGGCTCGATGCCGGCACGGTTGGACTCGGATGCGTCCTTCGTTGTCGATGACGAAGGTTCCGCGAGTAGCTGGATAGAGGGGCCAGCCTTCTCGTGACGGAGACGGGAAAAATCGCCTGTGAGCTGCGAGGGGCTGGTCCTACCCTGCCGTTTCTGTAAAGGAAGAATCACGATTTGAAGGATATGTCTGAAATCTTCAGGCTTAGATGGGGGTTGGGAGGGGTGCAAGAGACGAGGGAAAGTTGGATGGCTTCTTGAGCCCTCTACTGAACTGGACTTCGCTTCGACAAGTCTTTACTAACATGTTTGAAATGAAAGACCGTGCTCTAACATGGACTCAATAGTAAGGTCACGAACCTCGTCCGTCGAAATATCGACGCAACCTACTAGTCTCTGACGATAGGCCGTGGATAGTAAGTTAGGACGCGTTACGGCGCTACCAGAGGGCTTTGTGAATTTGGTCTCTTCTCTAAAACTGAAATTGCTGACAGTGGTAGCTGCTGCTATTGGCGTTAGAGCATACAGCTGTACAACTTCGGAAAAGAGGTACCGCAGTATGGGAGAGAGAAGGGGAGGAGAGTAATATCGCGCGCGCGGTATTGCATGCACAATTATTTCCATATCCTTCCGATATTTCCATGCCCATGTCGCGCTTCAGAAATATGTTCATCGCGCGACCGCGCACGCGGCGTCCTTTATGGCCAATTTACTGAATTATATATCGTACTTACTCTACTGTACGACTGATTACATGTCATATGCCTTGTGGACGACCCCCTTTTACGCCCAGGAGTATTCCATATGCAATTTATCCTTAAGGGCCTCTCCTTGTACGCAAAGTAAACCCGTCTCAACTTAAGAGTAATATAGACAGTCAATTTGGGTAATCCAATGGCTGTTGAGTGACCCGCTGGGATTGCCCTTGAGATCCTCGGGGAAGGGCCACAGGTGCAGAGCCTGGGGGGCTATGGGCGCACTTACCCGCTATTGAACAAGCCCTTTTAACCCAGTGGTTAGTGACTGGGTTTCTGACATGGTATCAGAGCCAAAGGTCTTGGGTTCAACTCCCAGTGCCAGCGCTGCAGAGGCGCTCGTGTCTTCCACCTATCCCAGCGGGGGGGGGGGTGTTGAGTGACCCGCTGGGATTGCCCTTGAGATCCTCGGGGAAGGGCCACAGGTGCAGAGCCTGGGGGGCTATGGGCGCACTTACCCGCTATTCAACAAGCCCTTTTAACCCAGTGGTTAGTGACTGGGTTTCTGACAATGGCGTCCAATCGGATGGCTCTAGTGTTTCCAAAGCGACCACACCTAGTGGTCGGCGAGGCAAAAAAATCCAGACGTGTCAGGCTCGCCAACCAATGCCGACGCAAAAATCGACATGATGCGCTAGATACGAGCTGTACGTATGCGGTCCAGTAAAATTGCGCCAATCAGTCCAACGGAATCCGTCGGGGTTGCCCTTGGAAAATCCGACCGCCCACTGCCTATACGAGCTCGCCACGGAAGCAGCAGAGGGGTCCCAACATCGTTCCCCCCGCCAGCAGTTCTGACACCTCGGGGTTATTTATACGCCCCAAACAGCGACCTCTTCACGACACAAGGAACGAGCCCGCCAAACACACAAAGTCGTCCACATGGCACCTGTGCGCCGCGTTGTGCTAGCCATCGGCCAGAAGGTTGCAATCTGCCAATACGCCAAGAAGAACCCCACGTTACGGCTCGAAGACATTGGGCGCTAGTGCCACACCAGATACGGACTGTGGCCGGATCGCAGCACAGTCGGGCGAGTTCTGCAAACCGAACATAAGTGGCGGGC